TAAGCAAGCACGCATTAATAATCTTGAAATCGGCTTACTCAAGCACTTATAAACATCATTTCACCTTGGCATGATCAAATTATGAAGGTGGGATAGCTCAATAAATCAAAAATTCAGAACCCCCTTTTTTCCTTCAATCCATCACTCCCCTGCATCTTATTTTTGACATTCTCTGCTTGTCATGTTAAAATGCTTTTCCTCTTAAAATTAGCAATATTTTTGCCTCATCATGGGTAAAAGTTAATTTTATTTTAAGATATTAATTTTTGACATTTTTTTGCAAAAATACTCTCGGTTTTTACTATGATTTAGGCTAGCGAATGTGGGATCGACTTGAGCATTATTTTATTAAAGTTCCCTTTCTGTTAACACTCAATTTAGACGTACTCATTGGGTATAATTTAATGCGTATTAAATGCTTAAGTTAATTGAAATGGCACTGCTATAAATGGCTATTAATTTACTTTATTCACCTCGAAAACGGATTTCAACTTCATCCTTTTGTAAATTCTGATTCAATTTTTCAACCCCACATGCCACCCCCCCCTTTTTTTTATTAAAAAATGAAAGTAATCGATAATTTTTGAGTTTTTTCCTTCTTAATATGAGTCTTCCAAAATTTGAGGTTGGAGGAATTTGTCTACATGATTAGATTAATGTAATGTAATTGTGATCCAAAGGTAACATTTTTTGTATTAAAAAAATTCATAATGAAATATGCGCCGACTTAAATGCCTTTTAGTATTAAATGTGAAATTAGAATCAACACTTCGGCACCCATTGCTTGTAAGACTTGTTTTACCTGCCGCTTTATTAATTTTAAATATTGGGATTGAATTTTAACGCACTCCTTTGTATCTATAAAGTGGAATAATGGTCATCTAGAATATTAATTTATTTCAAATGGCGGGCTTTATGATACTTACAATTAGCCCTTTAGCTGACTTTGGGCTTCTCAGAGGAGAGGAACATTCATATACAAAAAGTGGAGAGGGAGAAACAGAAGAGCGATTCACAAATGCAAAAGAGACAGACAGACACAAAGCCAGAGAAAAGGCTAGGTGAGTACTGTGAAAGAGGTCGAATAAGGCATACAGTGGGGTCATTGTATTAGGTTGGCAACTAAGTCATTGTCGATTTCAAATAAGAAGGCAAATTCAGAATTTTTGTTTAAAAATATAACTTTATTCAATTAGATATTGGCCGTTCTTGTCGATGACCTTTTTCCATCGTTCTGGCAGAGTAAAAATTCCCCGTTCGCAACATGTCTGGTCTTTGCTATTAAAAAACTGAATTAGGTGTGATCCGACATCATCCGCGTTGTTAACAATTTTACCATTTAAAGAGTTTTGCATGGAACGAAACAAATAATAATCCGAAGGCGCAAGGTCAGGGCTATATGGTGGGTGTGACAAAACATCCCAACTCAGTTCCAATAATTTTTGCCGAGCAACCAAAGATGTGTGGGGCCTTGCGTTATCATGATGGAAAACAACACCCTTCCGCCGATTTGATAATGGCGGCCGCTTATCTTCAATTGCATCCGTCCTTCAGTTTTTCGAGTTGTTCAACATACACATTTGAATTTATCGTTTGGTTCTGCGGCATGAGTTCAAAATACAAAATTCCTTTGTGATCCCACCAGACTGACAGCATAATCCTTTTTTTGGTGAATCTCTGCTTTTGATAATGTTTGGGCTGGTTGATCTTGCTTCACCCATGGTCTCTTGCGAGTAACATTGTTATAAACTATTCACTTTTCGTCGCCAGTAACTAGGTTCTTCAGAAATGGATCATTCTCATTGGGTTTCAGTAGCGGCGAATCACAGATGCTAATCCGTTGCGTCAAATGAATTTCCTTTAACTGGTGAGGGATTCATAAATCAAGTTTCTTGACATAACCAAAGGTTTTTAATTTTTTTCAATGCATGTATGCGACACATTGGGCTTCTCTGCAATATCTCGTGTTGTGCTGTGACGATTTGAATCGATAATGGCCTTGATATGGGTTTCATCCACTTTGACTGGGTGGCCAGATCGTTGTGAATTTTTCAGCGAAAAATCACCGGAATCACGAAATCTTTCAAACCAATTTCGACACTGCCTTTCTTTTAAGGCTTCATCTCCATATACGGCACATAACTTCTTTTGTGCTTGCGATGCGTTCTTGCCTTTTCGGGAGTAATACAATAAAATGTGTCGGAAGTGCACGTCCTGTTCTTTCATTTTTAAATTGGGATAAAAACAAAACTAAAGAACTAAACAAAAAAATTTTTTACTAATTAACCTAGAAGCCCATACAGTAAGAAAAAATATAGGTTAGATGCTCTGGCCACGTTAACAAAACAAAAGAAAGTATAGAGTGAATCTGTCAACAAAAACGGCAATGACTTAGTTGCCAACCCAATAGTTTGCCGGTTAATACACATTTTGCAGCATGAACATACGTTGCCCAGGGTGCACCACGTGGAGGCAAGTCTATCGCACACCCCACATTGTTTAATATAAGAATTGGCTGATATTGCGCTATCATTAATTCGAGAGCAAAGGAAATAGCGCCCCCCCCCTCAGTGATCAAATAGCTACCTTATTTTGACCTTGACTATTCAATTTACTTTCTCCGCTTTTTGGAAATATGGTTAAGTAGAACATCACTTGAAGAGGGAAACGTAATTTATCAATTAAAAGATGTGTAATCCAATTAAATTACCCAGGCGAATACCACGAATATTTTTTCCTTTAAATATTTCATGATATAATCACATTTTCTCACAGATACTAACCCACATCTCAGGAAGGAAAATATCGAACATTGAATAGACATTTTACTAATCCACTATCGTATGCAACATGACGTAATACTTTATTTTTCCATGAATCCCCAGGCAAAAATATAGGGTAGACCACATTGCGGGTGAGAAATGCAGTAATTTCCGCTAAAACTCGTTGTGGCGACCATTTGGCTTCCATGCGTGATGTGCTATTCATCATAATGCTTACCTTCCAACAGTTCCGCAATTTCATTCCTGTGGGTTGTCTCTTTCAATGCACTCTTGGTTAACTCTTTAATGCCCTCAGCACCGTACAATCCTCTTTCAAAGTAAGCTCCATTGGTACTAGACTCGAAGCAGAAGGCGCTACTATTGCAGTTTGAAACATGTTCAATACGAGTCTATAGCCTTCGCCTGATTCACCGCCCAAACTCATCACATCGGCGGTAGCGGTCTGCTTTTAGGCACGCGTGATTGCGGTTGGGTACATTTTTCAACAAAATAATTCGGGTGTTAAAGGGCTAATATAATCATTTTGGACCCCTATTCTCTTGACTTGATAGTATACGTTAATTCCATGATCATTACCGATGAAGGTTGAGCGGTCCTACTAAAAATGCTACGTATGGCTTCAAAATCACTTCGATCTATTAGAGACTTTAGGGCGAAACAGTTGTATCATTCGCGCAAGCAGGACCGGTAACTTCAAAGTGGGAAGAGTTTAATGGGAGGGTGGAAGTGCTTGTTCCACATGATTAGAAGCATATGCTCCTACCTTTCAAATGAATTCTTTGGAGAATATTCGAATTGAACATGATGTCGGTATTATGGAAGGAGTTTTGATTTCTAACCTGTCAAAAAGCTAAAAATAGCCCGGCACTGGCCACTGAAAATCCCTTTGTTCATAACACCTGAGGTCGCTGCTTTTATTTATGCGAATGTTGGCAGCTCCACGCTTTTCCATTGATGGCTCGTTTTATCACAACGTTCATCCAAATTTATTTTATGGTGGGAGATAGTGAGAAGGCCGCAAGGCGTACATTATTGAAGACTATGGTTTTCCCTCGTGTGCACTTTCAAATCCACTTTGTTTGACTTTATTTGATGGCGGAGAGGGCTGGGTGCTTCTAATTGGACGAACATATTGGACTTGGTGGTGATGGTACTATATATATATATATATATATATATATATGCCATACCATCAAGCGGCATAATTTCAGTCTAAATTCGTACCTAGTATGCTGAATCTGTGTGTATGTCTATCTCTTTTGCAACCTTGAATCACTTTTCTGTTCTCCCTCTCGAATTTTTCTCACTTTGATGTTCCCCCTCCTCCTCTCTGTGAAGCCCGAAGTCAGGTAAATGGCTAATGGCAACTATCATAGAGCCTGCCATTTGAAATAAATATCAATGAAAATTATATCGATGAATTACAAAAATTTTAATTCAAATATATCCTATGCGAAAAAAAAACCTAACTTCATTAGGCTGCGAAAAGACGGAATTTCGTTCTTTGGTCTGCTGAATAAAGCAGAGTTTTAGTTTAATTAATCTAGGAAAGTTTCACATAATGCCTCTTGAATACATTCCTTTCATATTCTATGACTTATGGAATAAGATATTGAGTTCAAAACGAGTTGTGCGGGTATTCAAGGCTAGTTACCATCGTTTACTGCGAACAATCATTTTCGATTTTTCAAAGTGGTTAGAGAAATATTTTGTTAATAAGCTATGCAAGAAAAAAACTTTCTCTTAAAATAGTTGTTTAATGTTATATAAAAGGGCAACTCAACGCCTTTAATAAGCGAACATTTTAGAGAGGTTAGGGGAGGGGGTAGGGGTTCAACTAATCGACTTCAAGATGTACACATCGTTCATTTGACGAGCTGGTTCATTTGAATGCTCTCTAGGATTCAAAAGCACTTTTTGATAACATTTAAATTATATAAACAATGGCATTTTGAGAATTTCAGTGTTCGCTAAATTTTATATAAGAAGAGCTTACTTGTCTTTACCAAGCAAAATTATATTCAATATTTCCTCATATAACTACCAAATGGACAATTTCAATGTGGTAAAGATTAGAATTTTATCAATTAATATCTTGACATCACTTAACCTAAACGTAAATCATCGTGTACATACAAGAACTTTAAGATTTTTTACCCAATAATGTGTTAAAAAAATTAAACTACTTCAAGTTTTGCTGTTTTTTTATTATAGGAAATGGAGTTGATGTACGCCTATAAGGAATCCGTTGAAGCTGCCAACGCCAGACTCGTGGAATTGGAGAAGAGCAGAGTAGGTACATCTAATTGTATCCCCCTAGCAAGGGACATGTTTTGGAAAGAATACCAGAATCGTGTTCTTATGAAGAGGCTTGTCAAAGAGTGGTCACCAATGCTAGGCCAGAAGGAACATTAATTCGCCTTTGTGCTCGTAAACGGATTGAGAGCCAAGTGTAAAAAAAGCTTGTATGGGGCGGTAGACATTGGTTTCAAATGGCGGGCTTATTATTAGCCCTTTAGCTGACTTCAAGCTTCACAGAAGAGAACATCGAAGTGAGAAAAAGTGGAGAGGGGTAACAGAAGAGTGATTCAAAGATGTAAAAGAGACAGAAAGACACAAAGACAGAGAAAAGGTAAGATGAGTACTGTGAAAGTGGTGGAATATGACATACAGTGGGGTCATAGTTGTTTAAAGTCAGAAGTCAACTGCTGAGTTATAGACTTTTTTGCCGTATGAATATACGTTGCCCCAGGGTGCACCACGTGAAGGTAAGTCTATCGCACACCCCGGGGTGGTAGACATTGTAGATAACAGACTTGTACCTGTCTTAAATTTAGGTTACAGAATAGGTTTCAACGCCCCACTCTGTCTATGGATCGTCTGTGAGACAGCTCTAGGCTATTAATACTCTTCCAATTACTGGCAGGTTAGTGGCATGGTTAATTACGGTTACTAGTTTAATACTGCGGACGTCTACGTCTGCAGTGTGAAGGGCGAACCGAATGTCTTTGCAAAAGCAGGCACATAATGGATCATGAACGACTGCTTTTAATACGTCCGTCATATGGTGCTGGGGAAAATCTTTGCTTAGGGTTCGAGAATGACCGAGGTACTGCAGAAATGTAAGCTGGAAGCTGTAAAATGAGTAGTCGACTTAACCAGGAAGAAAATGAATTTGAGTGGTGGTCGCAATCGACATTTAATGGACCCATTTCGTCTTCGTTTACGAAGATCGGGTCTGCTATTGGTGAGCAAAGTGAATGACTAAGAAGACGGGCTTTTATCTAATCAAATCTTGATAATTAGACATAAAGTACAGATTTGTAATTCCGTGTGCAAAAATTTACGCCTTCCAATGATGAATTGAATTTTTTCCAAGCTTGATCATTCCTTTATTACTTGAAATTCTCATTAGCTTAATATTAGTTTACTACTTTTTTTCTATTATTTATAAAAATAGGTTGAAATAATCTGCGACACCAGACTAACGGTAACCAAGTGTGATGAGGTGGTGAGCGATTCGATGGCCGAACTCATTAGTCATCTATTCGTCACTCGAACCAAAATGCTAAATCAGGTGAGTTTGCGGCTAATGTTTTTCTCATAGTTTAATCGATTGGAAGCCAAAGCCGACTTTAATACCAACTCATTTCTCTCTTCCTTTCTAACTAGCACTAAAACTGGTTTTTACGTTTGCGTTTGGGTAAAGGAGAATTTTAAGGTAAACAAACAAGACGGTTGCCTGTTTACTTGAAATAGCACAAATTTTCCTGGATGAATGTGTATTAAAGGTTACTGGAAAACGGATAGATATGCAGATGCTCTTATAGCTATTTCTTATTCCGATCTATTGACGCTTAAGACATTTTGAAATGTCAAGTCATCAGGTCGCGAACCTAATTTTTGAGTTAAATGTCGATTATAAAGACATATCCCACGTCGTGGCAAAAAATATGAAATTGAACTCTGGGCCAAAGATTTTGAAGTAGAAGGGTTTGATCACTAGCGAATAATTGAATTGAATACCAATTAAAGTTCATCTACCCTCAAATATACTTGAAGTAATGCACATTCTAGTCAACTTACCGGATATTAACAATTTCCGCAGCAACACACTAATGTCTACAAACTAGTTTTGCCCCTTCAATAACGGTGTTGCGTAAAAGCTTATGAACATTCGAATTGAATATCTGCAGGTGAGAATATGATCTCTTTATGATCCAATCACAATCCAATGCCCAGGGAGATAATTACAATACTTTTTGGCTTATTTTCTTAGAAAACTCCGGCTATTTGTTTTTTTTTGTTATTTTATAGAAAACTCAAATTCTCCTACTTCCATTCAAAAGAGCCGATGTAAGCTATAGAATGGAGGGGAAAATTAGGTAGATATGGGAACTTCAAGAGTAGTGTCTCCTGCTATCGCACAACTTTCATTTTACGTGCTTGAATTGTAAAACGGAGGTGAAATTAACCAAAATTAGAGTGCAAAAGAAATATCACGTGTTTGGTTGACATTTTCTTGGCGTGTATTTGTTTATTTTTTGGTTGAAAGTAATTTTGGTAAGTGAAGGTTTGTCATTTGAGGGTTCTTTTTTGTGAACCATCTCCCGACTTTTTAGGGTCACAAAAATGTCTATTGCTTTCACTCTCTCGCGCGCTCTCTCTCTCTGGTATTGGTTTTAGCCTCAAGAGGTAGCACTTATTGTGAGCTTGAAATTGGTGGCAATAATACTAAGTTACCAATTAGGCTTAACCCTTGCACACTTGTTGTAAATGCTTGAATGCCTATGTTTGCCAGGTCTGAATGGACTAAACAGTCGATCTTGACCCCATAGCAACAGTACTCTTTCAAGTTATGTGCTCATTGAAGGTGCTAGTATGGATTCGAGGAACTCGCGTCTTCAAAAACCTCGTATCTACCCATTATTGCTACTTATAATGACAGTAGAAAAATTGTCCAATCTTGAATCATGCGATAACATAATGTTCAAATGCGCCTCTACTATGAATTCAGGACGTCAGGACTCTTTATTGTCCTTAATTCTTGAAGCACTGAATTCCTCACTCCTCCCCCAGTTCCGATCGGAAGTATAATCCATTTTATTACATCCCTATGATTTTACAAGAACATCTCAAAGCAAGTCAATATCTAATTGGTTTGAATGAAGAAGTAATATATTTTCAATAACTGTTTATTAATCTATTCAGTTACTTTTAACTTCTACTTCCTTGATGTTGAGCACCAACTTGTTCGTATCTGTCCTATTCCACGCACTAAGATTCTTCCAATAATTATCATGGCAGATATTCTTTGCGAGAGCCCGTCAAATTTTTTTTCACATTTCCTTTCAATAAATCTCGGGGGTTATTTTCTCTCGGTCAAACGGAAAGTGCTTCGAATTTTCTTCCTATCTTCCTCATATCTAGCACCTGTCATTTCAAGCTTAGAAGCCACTAGTTAGGTAAAGAAAATTATCAGCGATGAAACTTCGTCCCTAATATCTCCCTTTCAAAACATATTACGCACAAATTAAGTTAATTATTCAGGTTGTAAAATCTCCTTTTTGCAACGATTACTTAATCCTATTTAGGTCACCTAAAAGCCTCGTTTACATTGAGGAAAATCTAACGGGTAGTAAAGTTGGAGTAAGAGGTCAATTATTGTGAGGGGGAAACAGAGAGTATTCCATTAGTGACTGGCACACACGTGGAACATTAAAGTGCACTCCTTTTGCGGGGTTCAGGATTAGCGTATCTCTCCTCGCCTCAGAGATGCTTCAGGTGGACTCTAGACAGAGAAGGGTCCATAAAGAGGATTTTCGATACTCGTCATTAATCTGCCGAACTTTAAGGCATATAATTGTATACGAATTTGATTTAATTCTGCAAGAATATTACGCCTCCTACTTCAAGTCTCCAATCTCCCTCGGATTGGTACGGATTACTGTTTTTACTTCTGACTTACACCCTCACCCCCCCACCCCCCTCAACCGACCACTTCTCAATTCTGTATATTTAAAGTGGAAGAAACAGAAAGGAGGCAAAACTCCAGTGAGTTCACTTTCATCTCGAATTTGGAGACATGCTAAGCATGTTAAAATTAGAAGTTAGCAAGGAGCGTCTATTTGGAGGGTCATTTGCAAAAGTGTGTGAACTTATTTCTATATTTATTTCTACGTAAGGTCAGGTGAGGAGGTGCTCACCCACATGTCGGCTTAACTAGTAGATTTTGAAGAGTAAAATTTCGCATGAATTGTGGCTGTTTGTGAGTTCAGTGGTAATATGATTGAGATCAATTACACTTTTGAGCCATAAAACAGAATTCCCCTTAAATTGTCCCCCAGCCAGTCACCTTGACTTTCCAACCCCATATTCGAAATTTAATAAGACATTTAACCACCCCTTCCCTTCGTGTTTAATATTATGTGCGTGTGATTGAGTGCTCTACAACAAATATGGGATTATTCACTTTTTTTCTTAATTTTAAATGGCAATCCAAAATGGATTTTTTAAGTGCTAAACTTGAGATACCATCTTAACATATTTATTCATTTATTTATTTCAAATGGCAGGCGTTGGGAACAACAAAGTGGAAAAAAGTCGAGAGGGGGGACAGAATAATGATTCACAGACGTAAAAAAGTCGAGAGGGGGACAGAATAATGATTCACAGACGTTAAAAGTCGAGAGGGGGGACAGAATAATGATTCACAGACGTAAAAGAAACGGACAGGCACAAAGGTAGAAAAAAGATAAGATGAGTACTGTGGAATTGGTAGAATATGAAATGCGGTGGGGTCTTGGTAGTTTGAAGTCAGAAGTCAACTGCCAATTAATAGAATTTTTTTGCCGTATGAGTTTACGTTGCCCAGAGTGCACCACGTGGAGGTAAGTCCATTGCACAACCCCTATCTTAACACATGAGTGGCGCTATGGTCCAGTGAAAGGTTATTTCATGAAGTTAAAAAGGAGCGTATAAAGCTGCCTTATTCTCAAGGCACGAACCTTATTTGAATTTCGATGCATTGCTTTGCCGACTTTCTCATAAGCACCTCACCGCATTGCTTAATGTCCAAATTCAACAGAAATCGAGTCATTTAGTCTCATTTAATCCGAGTTTCAGGGAAAAGCTTCACATTCGCAAATATTCAAATTTTAATGAGCACTTAACCTAATGGAATATATATCGTTGTGCCGTATTAATTATTAATTTGCTTCTTCTTATAGCCGATGGATGGGATTAGTAAAGAGGATTGACATAGCAAAACGCATTTAAATCCTTTCAAATGAACAGTAATGTTGAGTTGTTTATTATCCTCTTCGTCGGCATTAAAGGCACTCATTTGCTAGTGGCTTGGATAAATTCCCCCAAACTGTCTTTCTATTTGACCATCCTATTTAACCAAATTGAATAAGAGGTTGGTTAGTTAAGTTACCAGAAATGCAGTAGGTGGTTTCAGGCTCATATTGCTTCATGTTATCGACAGGGCAATACGATCGCACAGTTTGTTAACAGTTTGAATCCTCTGTCAATTGGGATATTTCACCTTTATAGAGTGAAGCCATAAACGCATACAGAGCTGAAATATTTATTTATTTCAAATGGTGGGCTTTGTGATACTTATCATTAGCCCTTTAGCTGACTTCGGGCTTCATCGAGGAGAGGAACCCTCATGTCACAAAAGTGGAGAGGGAGGAACAGAAGATTGATTCACAGTTGTAAAAGGGATAGACAGACACAAAGGCAGAGAAAAGGTAAGATGAGTACTGCGGAATGGGTCGAATATGACATACAGTGGGGTCATGGTAGATTAAAGTCAGAAGTCAACTGCCGCTTAATAGACTTTTTGCCGTATGAGAATACATTGCCCAGGATGTACCACGTGGAGGTAAATCTATCGTACACCCCAGATCTGAAATAGTAGAATTCTTGTCAAAATAGAAATTTTGGACTATTTTTTTAATTATTAGCAAGTGTTAATATTTATGAGTAGACGTTTGCAAAAAGTAGTAGAATTGGTAATATAAACGTTGTTGGATAGCTCTGATACTACCGTTAGCCAATGAGATAGGTCTGCGTAAAAGGTGAACGCGAATTGCTGCAAAATGGCTCAAAAAAACCCGAATTAATGCCCCAACCCATACTATTTTATGCAGAAGGCTGATTAAAAGGGTGGGATTGAAGGAGGGCTAGAATGGTTTTACGTCTTACACTTACATGCTCTTTAAGTGCATTTGTTCCAATGTGACATTTCATTTATCTTTAAAGTTGACATTTTACAAGCCAGGATAATTGTATGAGAGCATCCCATTTTCTGTCCATTGTAGAAGTAAATAGGTGTAGATGGTAAAGTCGATTGCTTTCCCAAGCAATCACAAGAGAAAGTAACCTAGGTAATGGTCTTCTATTGGTGACCTATAGGTTATTAGGTCAGCGGGAACAGGGATATGTCAACCCTCCAATAATGGCGCACTTGTATGAGGGGCGTTAAAGTACATAGACATTCGAGAGCGATAAGCACGAATATTTTGAAACGTCTTTCATTAGCTGGCATTCTCTTTCCTGTATATTTTTAGATTTTTGGCTTGCTAATTATAAGCTCTGCTTGTCTGTCTGTCGCAACTCCCAGTGCCCAATTTTACAGTGGAATTATAATTCCCCTGACAACAGTAAAGCAAAGTTCAAGGGAAATGGAAATTTAGTCTTCGAAAAACAGTCCATAAGTGTTTTAGGGCAATGGCCTAGATAAATTTTAAAGGACTTTAGAAGTTGCCAAGTTATATCAAGTCATTATTGGTCTTGAAAGGTGGACTGGACTGCTAAAACTTTGAATTCGCTCCAACTCTAGGAAGGAAACTTGAACTTTGAACTTTAGAACGTGAAATGCCTTTTGTCACCTATTGCACCTTCTTTCAACAGGCTAATATATTTAAAAATGATAAAACGTGTTTATAATACAAGTGCTTATTCGGCGAAAGCCCATCTAGTTTAGAGATTAATTGCCATTGAACTTTTACTGAATTTGGTTTCTCATTCTCTTTCCAGACGACATAAGCTAACCAGATGATGTGAAATTGCGTTTTCTCAAGGCCAAAGTCATCTCACATACCTGCCCATTTTGTTACACAGGCTGTAGCCTAGTCCAGTCAGATTGCAAGATAAATCAGTTAGTTTAGTGCCACTGTACCACTATGAAGTAAAAAAGTATAAAAAATTATTTTTCCTCAAAAATCGTACATTTAACCGGCTGATTACTAAAAGTAGAGCCGCTTTGCTTAAAGAATGATCCGCGAAGTGTAAAATTTGCAACAAGTTTTTTTCCTACATTCACTTTGAAAAAGAATTTAATGGCTAACAATTTCTTTGACAAATAAATTTATTGATTTTCAGACTACGGGTGTTTTGCTATCAAATTGAGCAATATCTCGGTGGAATAGAATAAATTGTTTCTTTTTAAATTAAAAATAGCTTGTCATTTTGTTAAAAGAGAATAGTTTTTTTTACAATACAGCAGTTTGGAAAACACGTTTAAATGGTATATAAAATTTCAATTAAAACGTCTATTATTTTATATTAAATTAATGAAAATCATAAATTGAGACATTAGGAGAAGAGAAAAGCTATATATATATATATATATATATATATATATATATATATATATATATATATTGTTCTCTTTCGTTTAAATCAAAACATTCAAGAGAGCAAATATCAGTTTTCCATGGGATAAATTTTTTATCAACAATATCACTCGAATTCCTCTTTTTTCCCAGAGGAGACGCTGCATTTGGCAAATTTGTCTCCCGATTCGCCCAACTCTACTCCAAAGACACAACAGAAACGACTGACGGTAAGAATGCTTGCCTGTATATACATTTATGTGGGGAATTTTATTAAATACTGCTAGCAAATGATCTGTTTGCCATGTAAAGAAAGCCGACTTTCTTGCTGTGATCTAATAATGTTGCTTCTATTGATAGCCTCTGCCATAGCGCACCTCTCAAAGTGAAATTTCATGAAATATTACTACTGACTTGTTGATTAACACAGCTCTTGTGCCAATTTATCTAATCTCCAAATATATTTCAATCTTGTGATTTCCAATTTGGTTCTAAAGAGCACCTAACAGCAACAGCATGTCTACTTAAGTGAATAAAAGCAAACCTCACATGTTTGCAACAGCAGCCGTCTGTGTTTATCAAAACAAAGCAAATTAATTTCGCCATTTATATTCTGCATAAACTTGACAATCATTTAAAAAAAATTTCTAAAATATTCGATAGACAGTGGAATTACATTATTGTCAAGGCGTTTTCGCCGAAATAACTCCCATTGATGTCTACTATGATCTTAATCCAGACGGGACTTCCGCACCCCTCCCCCTTCCTCCTTCCCCAACCCCAGAATCTGGAGCAGGGTGATTTCACACTTCCTTTGGAGGTGTCTCAAATCGGTTTGGCTTTTGCACATTATTTGGGCCCTTGTATTGTTGGCCCAGCGAGTAGTGTCTTCTTTCACAGCATCGGGTTACGATCTGGGGGAAGTTAGGTAGTTTTGGAATAAAACCTTGGAGATGAATTAATCATAAGAATCCGCTGAAAACCAGTTTTGATTTTTCCTGAGATGCCGGAAAGGAGGCCTTCTTTAAAAGATTCTGAGGATGGGGGGGGGCATCATATCACTTTCTAAGGTGGAAACATATCCGAAAACCACGCTAGTTCGGAAAAGTTTTGTCTGCTTGCCTTGAGGAGTGTCATTTGAACTCTTGGCAAGACATGCCATCGGTTGTTCTACGTGTTTTATTGCCAAACGTTCTTTTGATCAGAAAAGAATGAGAAATTCTTTGGCATCAGCAGGAAATTTCACCTCTCTCAGAAGTTGCTTAGCCTTTACCAGACGAATTTTGTTTGCTTTCGCTATGAGAAGGCGAACACTAAAACGCTTGTACGAATTCGTATAAGTGGAAGGACCCATTAAGTGCAAGCTTTATGTGGTAGAGAGTAAATCGTCCACTTCATTGTGTCGATAGATCTTAACTGCTGATGTCAAATTGCATCAAATAATTAAGGATGTCGGACTATACTGCATAAGCGTAATTAAATCAGATCGTCTTTTATGCTCCTTCCTTCTTGCCACAGCAGCCTTGTAACAATCACTGCATTCCCCTTCCCCCAGTTCATACCGGGTTATTCCCGCGTAGTGTTTATGGGGCATTAAACACTGGACAGTGACCACAATCTTCTTATTTAGATATCTGGCGGAGAACACCATGAATCAAGGTGTTCTCTTACCTGCTTCAGGTGGTTTCAGTCATTCATTCTCGGCGTTACCACGTCGATGAATGACGAGGGGCTCACAGTTCAAGATGCGAAACAGTGTTCGTGGACACCCTCATTACGTCCGCATTAAATGTCCAATCATTATTCTGCAACATTTATGTCAAAAATTACGTTCTCATCACGTGGGATTCAAAAACCCAACTTGTCTATGCATCCACCCCCCCCCCCCCAAGTCTGGTTGATTGTGTCTACCATATTATTGCGTGATGTTCCGCTCACGGATAATGATTGAAATAATTCTGTGACTGAAATTTTATCCTCCGTGGTGCCAAAAAAGTCATTTTTATTGTGTCATCTTATAGAAACGTCAGAAATCATGAAAAGTGAAAATGCATAAATGGTGAATGGTTAGGTGGAAGAAGTGTGGATCGAAGAACCAGAAGAACTCCCATTTCGCCTGAACTCCACAACTGCTTGAATTTCATGTCCCATCATCTTGTCCTTCAAACAAAAAGTTTGAGTGACACACACTCAAGCGATTTCACAGACCTCCAGTCTCCACACAATTATTTTAGTATCCGTTGTAGTAAGGTAGTCGACTAGTTCGCCGTCTGTTCTTTCGGGTTTACGGTAATCGAGCAACTAATGCCTCATCAGAATGACTTTCTGTAAGGACTTTACCCATTGTCCGTGTCTTACACTGTAGTCATAATATCCTTATTTAAATGTGGTTCTACACAACATTCCGTATACATTATTTATTTAATTCAAATGGCAGGCGTTTGGATAGATATCATTAGCCATTTAGCTGAGTATACGTTGCCCAGGGTGCACCACGTGGAGGTAAGTCTATCGCACACCCCCCGTATGCATTATCTTCCTCCATATAAGTGATTTATTAGTATGGTTGGTTCGATAACTGAAAGAGCAACAGATTTGAGCAGTAAATTGAAGTTGATCATTTCAACTGAATTGGAAGGAGCTAAGTGAGAAGATAGGCGCAAATAATATATAATGACCAGTTGGTTGAATGACGTTTATTTGTAAACTTCACATTCATAAGTCATTTGCATCTTCGTAACCACGAGCTTCACAAACCAATTGTAAAAATCGTTCTTGCCTCTTGCAACTCTGTGGGTTGGCAATTCTTCTAATCTCGTCAAAGTTAATGAGGTCTTGGCAGGCTCGGGTGAACAATAACCACAATAATCAAAAGGCTGGCTGTTTTAGCCAATCGGATAAAGCATTTATTCCGTGGAGAGTGATTCGTACATTTCCAAACGTTTTCATTAATGTCTTCCCTCTTTGCACACGAGAGTTTAGATGAGTCAGTTAAACAAAGATTGCCCTAAAGATTGAGGTTTCAGATAATGTCATTAAAAGTGATTAGATATAAAAAATTATATTATTTAATCCTTGATATCGGTAAACAACTGCAAGAACATTTCATCTAATGTTTGGCATTTGACAGTAATCTATTCATTTTGAGATTCTGCACTAAGGAATTTAGCATTCTTTTGTATATAAGTAGCCTACACATTTTTCTGAGTCGAGCACTGAAATTGGTTACCTAAGCCACGGCAGTCATGAAGAGAGAACTAACGAACTGAAGCAAACTTTTCAAATGGCAGGCTTAATGATATTTATCATTAGCCCTT